CTCCCGTTCCCTCCCGTTATTCCCGGTATCTCCCGGTCCCTCCCGGTATTCCCGTTATTCCCGGTGCCCACCGGCGCCCCCGCAGCTGTCCCGGCACTCCCGCTCGCTGCCGAAGTTGTTCCCGTTCCCTCCCGGTCCCTTCCCCGTTATCCCCCGTTCCCTCCCGTTATTCCCGGTATCTCCCGGTCCCTCCCGGCATTCCCGTTATTCCCGTTATTCCCGGTGCCCACCGGCGCCCCCGCAGCTGTCCCGGCGCTCCCGCTCGCTGCCGAAGTTGTTCCCGGTCCCTTCCCCGTTATCCCCCGCTCCCTCCCGTTATTCCCGGTATCTCCCGGTCCCTCCCGTTATTCCCGGTATCTCCCGGTCCCTCCCGTTATTCCCGGTATCCCCCGCTCCCTCCCGTTATTCCCGGTATCTCCCGGTCCCTCCCGTTATTCCCGGTATCCCCCGGTCCCTCCCGTTATTCCCGTTATTCCCGGTGCCCACCGGCGCCCCCGCAGCTGTCCCGGCGCTCCCGCTCGCTGCCGAAGCTGTCCCCGTTCCCTCCCGGTCCCTTCCCCGTTATCCCCCGTTACCCCCCGTTACCCCCCGGTATCTCCCGGTATTCCCGTTATTCCCGGTGTTCCCGGTGCCCACCGGAGCCCCCGCAGCTGTCCCGGCACTCCCGCTCGCTGCCGAAGTTGTTCCGGTTGCCGCCGCAGCCGCCGAACACGAAACTCTCGCAGCTCCCGGAGGAGGCGTTGAAAAACCAGCGCGGGATGGAGGCGCGGCAGCGGCCGGTGAGCGCCGGTAACCGGCACCGGGCTGCGGAACCGCCCGGTAACGACCCCAAAATCAGCCAAATTCACCCCAAAATTACATCCCAACCCCGGTAACCGGCACCGGGCTGGAGAACCGCCCGGTAACGACCCCAAAATCAGCCAAATCCACCCCAAAATTACATCCCAACCCCGGTAACCGGCACCGGGCTGGAGAACCGCCCGGTAACGACCCCAAAATCCGCCAAATTCACCCCAAAATGAGCCCCGAGCGCCGGTAACCGGCACCGGGCTGGGGAACCGCCCGGTAACGACCCCAAAATCAGCCAAATCCACCCCAAAATTACCCCCGAGCGCCGGTAACCGGCACCGGGCTGGAGAACCGCCCGGTAACGACCCCAAAATCAGCCAAATCCACCCCAAAATGAGCCCCGAGCGCCGGTAACCGGCACCGGGCTG